GAGACGCACACACAGACAAACAGACACACAGACGCACAGACACACAGACACGCAGACAACCTCTCGTCAATATGCGTTTTTTGCATTGCATTGCTGCAAAAAACGCATAAAAACTGAAAATATCGTATGTAGTCAGTCTGTTCATTACGAATACCTACCGTTTTTTAATGGAAAACACCTGAAAACTTTCTCTCTAACGAGTACAATCTCCTAACTGTGGTGAACGTCGTATTTCGTATATGCACCAAAGCGACTGTTTTATAAATTATGCTCCGTCTTGGCTGGTGCTCACTCTGGGTCCACTGGTATGCGCAAGAAAACGATGAGTTAGGTTTGTTAGGTACGTAAACTGGAGTACATTTTATAAAAAAGTTAGGGCGGACAGCCAATTTATCTTTGTGATATTAGTGGGTGCCGAGAAAATTAATAATGCAAAGTTTGTCAAGTAGATGGTTGAGAGATGTCAAATTAGACGCTTTTTCTGACACTAATCTGAAGCACGATACTTTATAAAATTCAAACGCGTTTTAAAGGCATAATGTGACCGAGGTACAGTCATGGCTATCAGCTAAGGGGCTACCTGCCCATCGCGATACACTGGAACCACTGGTACAGGCGTCACATCTGTTGCAATCGAAGAAAGATGAATCCAACCTTGAAACTTTATGTGGTGAAATGACTTCGAAGTTGAAGCCAAAGCAGGTCCGTTTGTTGCTTTTGGCAATGGCCTGTTACAGCGCTTAATCAGCCATAAAATAACAACAATAACGGTTTTCAGGTGATCGCCATATTGCAACACTATGCGCCGTCGGATGGTTTTGAAGAAAGGCGGCTAAGCCCTGATTTTCTTGTTAAGGTTTCCGAACGATTGAACGCTCGGACAAGGGCTAACGGCGGGACGGAAGCTGACATTGTAAGTTTTATGGATTTTTTTCGTTGGCAGGCTATCGCTTTGGAAATTGACGTATATCTACTTTGAAAAAAAATTGTATTTATAAAAAAGTTTTCAGCAATATGAGTTATCTTTTTCTTTCACATTTCCCACCCTATGAGTTTTTGTCTTAAGAAAAATCATGATTCCGTGTAAGGACCGCGTCACTTTTTCTAAGCCTCGTTATACGACTGTTGCCTCATACAAAAGGTCTTTTCTGTGCTTGCGAAGATTGCTGTTTTAGAATACGCTGATTATGATGGGCACTTATCTGACACCGTTCAATTCCGAGCCATTTGTTTACTCAGACTTCAATCTCGAGACGCTGTCGCTGCCAACATGCTTGCACCTGCAGGCAGTGTGTAGGTTATTGTGATGCAGTGTACGGAAATTCATTCTGTCCTCACTTCGCTTTAATGTATTCTACTTCGCCTGTTCTGAGATTGCAATTTTTCTTATCGGAAAAGTACAAATGGAATAGTTGCAGTTACAAAAAAAAGTTAATTTTTCAAATCACTGACGAATAGATGGCAAATGATAAGTTGATGATAAGTTATTAGAGACTGCTCTGATATGCTAGTTTCAGTCAGTTGTACACTGCTCAGTTTCTGATAATTCCATTGTGTGTGTGTTATTAAACCCTCAAGTGCTTGATGTCTGAGTTTTAATTTTGTGAAGGATGTAAATTTGGTTCCATGTACTGCGAAGTTGTTAAGCTGAAGCTCAATTTTCAAAATCTAAAAACCTAAAATTCTGCAAGATTCCGTTGTTTTGCTAAAAATTGGAGTGCTCAAAAATTTACAGAAGTTAAATGGTGCTTCAGCTTCGCCGCAACTTAACGTATTTCTGCCTTTTTTTGTTTTCATGCTTCCCCTGATTGTATTCTTATTGTGTTTTATTCAGAAAATTATGCCAAACTTGCGTTAAAAAAATTTGCCCTGTACAGAAAAATAAAGGCGCTGGGTTTTCGATTTTGCAAATAAAAACAATATTTCTCAAAATTCAAATCTAAAAAGGTTGGAATTCACGCAAATGACATGATGGTATCGGAATGTATTTGCTGTGCACAGAGCAACTGTATTCACAACAGACACTTATCCGTATCACTGCGTACTTGTTTTTTGGCACAAATGCACGCCAGACTTGGCGTTTCTCAACGAAAAAATGCGCTTAGGCTCTTTTTTGTCAAAAATAGCCAGCTGTTTGAATGATGTTTGGTCGCTTTTGACTCTTTTAATTAACCAATGTTTGCGTCTGCTTGTTTACCGCTTTGGAAAAATTTGATTTCATTCATTTCATCGTCTCCTGCCGGCGCCGGATTCGCGCCTTCTGATTTGATCAGTTTTTGCATCTTTATCTCATAACAAAGGAGAGACGATCGATTCACATGCATATACATAAATCTATGAATCGTACATGTGTGTTTTCGCCAAAAAGGCGCATTACAGACTTTCTGAGAATAGGAGAATGTCGAGTATCACAAGTGGTACCTGTAAGCCTGATCATTCGAGCTACACTTAAAATGGCGAACACAGTGTCCACCATTCCAAGTGTAGCTCGAATGATCAGGCTTTCAGGTACATACACACGCGCGTACGCAGACACACAAAAATACGTATAAAAGCGCAAACGCACACGCAGGTATACACACGCACACATTTAAACATACACACACATTTACATACATGCACGCACACAGGCAGAGCCTCTTTTCTACGAGGGGCGCTGCTGGTTACTTTTTTTGCACTGATCTTTTTTGGCGGTGCTTGATAATTTGTCGCTTATTTGCTTGACCTATCATTGACCATCCCGGCGATGGCGTACACTAACTTTGCCGATTCGCGTTGCCTTGACCAGCTCGCGGAGGTCGATCTTGCTCTCACCCTTGCATTTCCCAATTCTCCCCTCCCCCCACAGTTCTTTCCGCACCCGCTTCTCCACTGGACATTAGTGACCAATGTGCCGGGCACCAGTGACCAATGTGCTGGACAGCAGTGACCAGTATGCGAGTATCTCAGTGCAATGTCCACTACCTCGGGGTCCCTTCGCTGGCCGACTACGTGATTCGTGTTCTGTCATTCATCGTATCATGACGGTAAGAGAGGCGGGAAGACGGCCTGCACAAGAGGCGATGTTGATGATTCCCACTCCTTACTCGCATGATGCGTTCGGTTTACGTTTACAAAAGTTTCCCTCAACACCGAGATGCGATGTTTGTGATAACTGAATTTGCCTTGAGCGGCGTAACATTTGGTGTGAACTTCATGATGACTGGAACTGCGCTGATGCGAGATGGAAGAACAACTGCTGATATTTTAGCCGTCAAAACTGTCTTAGCAAATTTATGTTAACAGATCAGGAATTACAGGCGGATTCAGGACGGACTCCTGATGGGGTGAAAGGGAGGGAGAGATTGGGGCTACTGGGAGAAGGAGCGACGGGCGGAGGAGGAGGAGGGGGGTAGGAGAAGAATCACCTCCCACTCTGGAATTATACGAAGACTAGGAATACAGTTGCAATAATGCTATTTAGAGTTAATTTAGGCTTTAATTTAATTAAGTTTTAGCTTTAGACCCGAGCTTTTGCAGCACTGGTGCCTGCGCCACTGGGCGAAAGACCAACCGCCCCCTCCCTCTTTGAATCCGTCTATGCCAAGATTTGGATTGACCATATCCTGGAGCATCAGAATGTGGGTGGCCCAGGCTAAAAATGAAAAAATTGCACACTCGATTGATCAGCATGATTGTGAAAGAAGACCAGAGACTAAAGTCGATGTTTTCGATCGCTAATTTGCTGCTTCCTGAATAATAATAGGAAAAATGCAGTGCGCCAAATCGAATAAATTCCCAGCAGCAACAATTGCCCCGTAAAAAAAATTGATTTTTGATGGATCGGTTCAATTATGTGCGAAGACGTGGCTCTTTCTCCGGAGTGTGCAAACAAATCACCTCCTCTCCTTTTTACCTCATTTTACATCACTTTGGTCGTTGATGCAGCAGCAACAACGCACCGGCATTTCGATGTCTTCGTTCGCCTTAATCTCCGTTTTGGTGTGTTAATTTTTTGCAGCGGAATTCTTGTTTGTTTTTATTTCAACATGCAATCTGAAATATTATGCAAAGACGTTGCTTTCCTGTCTTAATTTTGAATTATACGGTCATCCGTCTGGTAATATCTTCGGGTCCCTTTTTGGTAATATCTTCGGTTGTTTACTAGCCACGCCCAATGCTTCCTCCTCGTCTGGCGTCTCTTCTTGCCTGGTTTCTCTGTTTCCGCTAGTTCCAGCCTGATACCTGTCCTCGCCGGATGTCTGTACCCGCCAAAGAATGTTTGTGAAGAGCGGCCTCCTGAGGGGGGAGGGGGGTGCGACAGAGGG